TCCCAGCCTGCTCAGCGCGCCCGGCGCCTGCCCCGCCCCGCCCCGCCCCGGAGCATGCCGGGAGCTGTAGTTCTGCCCAGATCCTGCCGCGGCCAGTTCCGCCGCGGGGCTGGAGCCAGCGCTAGAGCGCTCCCGCCGGGCAACGGGCTCAGGATCCCCCCCCCCCCAGGTGTGTGTTTGCGGGGTTCCCCCGAGTGTCCCCCCAGGGTTGCATTTTGGGGGGCGTCCCCACTCCCCCCCGGTTTGCATTTCCAGGGTTGCATTTTGGGGGGCTTGCTCACAGGACCCCCCAGTTTTGTTTTGTTTTTACTTTGGTAGCTTCCCCCTGCCCCTTTCCAGGTTTTGTTTGGGAGGAAGCCCTGCTCCCCCTCCCCCACGGTTTGCATTTTGGGGGCGTGCCCCATTGTTTCCCTCTGGTTGCACTTGGGGAGGATTCTCTGTTGTCCCCTCCCCCCAGTTGGTGGGACCCCGACTCCAATTGCAGGACACCCACCGCTGAGTTGAGTCTGTTCCCAAGGATAGACAGGGCCTAAGAAAAACTTACTCAGGTAGACGAGCTAGAAAAACATAAGCATGATGGATGCATCAGACTTGGGGTTCTCAAGCTTTTCCATAGCCTCTCTTCTAAGAAGTAGTTCCCACTATCTCATGGGCACCTCACTTCTCTTTCCCCTCGTGCAAGTGGCATCACTTCCTCTTCGCCCTCCTAACATCCCCATGGTGACTACAGCAACTGCTTGTTTTTGGAAAGGGTTCAATGGGAGTTAAGTTTCTTTTACCACAATTCGGCGGCACATGGGTTCTAAGGGCATGTCTACAATGCAAAACCAGAGGTGTGTTCTTAACCTGCGTTCAAATAGGGAAGACATAACAACTCTGCTTTTAACTTGAGTTAAAGCCTGGGACTGTACTCAAGCTGCTAACCTGAGTTAAAAGCCAGGTTGTCTTGTCTTCACTGCTACATATACACCTGAGTGAGCTAACTGGAGTTAAGAATAAACTTTTGTTTGCAGTGTAGACATACCCTAATAAGAGAGGAGCCAGAACCACGTGACCAGGCAGTGCTCTGTGTCCCGTTAGCAAATGCTCCACAGACCACCAATGCTTCACTGGTCGCTGTTTGAGAACCACTGTATTAGGACAGTTCTACATTAGAAAAGTAGGTTGGTTTAACTATGTTGGTCAGGGATGTGAAAAATCCACACCCTTAAGTGGTATAGTTAAGCTG